AAAAGACTTAGAATGCCAGCGTAGAAATTATAAAAAGACCAAATGTTGATATGTCTGTCCTGGCAATGAATTCTGTAATATAGGAACTGAAGAATTTATTCCATAGGCTTAAGGGAAGAACGAATCACTGAAGTTGAAGACAGGTCAGTGTGAGGTGTGTGTGTGGGGAGACACCTCCAAAGATCATGAGAAAACATCTGTGAACCTGACTGGTGTATCAGGAAGAGAGCAGCACCCCACAAAAGTAGCAGCTCAAGAGACAAGTGTGAGGACGTCAGAAACTTGAGGGAAGATACCAGTAAACAGATACCAGTTTATGCAATCTACACAAGGAAAAGCATCTGCTTTCTCTTCCTCTCCACCTTGTCCTCAACGTGGACCTCACATTCTTCCATCAACCATACCCTGTGGTGACTGAAACTAAATGGCAGTGTCTTATGGCTCCCTCACTCCTGCTGTGTCTGTCTCCCACCCAAAGCCCTGCCCATCGTCCCTCCCTTCCTCCCTCCTTCCTTCCTCTCTCTCTTTTCTTTCTTTCTTCTTTAAGACATCAAAGATATTTGCTATCTTCATCAGGACATGGTGACTCACTTTTATTTTCATATACACAAATAATTGAACATATCGAGAACATAAGGAACAGCTGTAAAAGTTTCCTAGTATCCCCGTTATGTAACAATATAGGGGAGGTTTAAATTCTTAGTCTCAAACTATAGCTGCATCTTTTAGATCCACGATCCAACAGTCACAGATGGCAATGTTAAAAATAAGCAGAACATTCAAGTTGTTTATACTGTAGGCAAAGACAATTTTAAAGTGTGAAACACACCCAAGGCTGACTGAATTTACATCATCCTTTTCAAAAATATATTAAGAATGTATGTTTCCCTATGCCAGTCCTGAAATGCTGCTTGCAAAAGAAAAAAACAAATTAGCTTTTGAAGGTGTGTTCAGTTTTTATACTAATTACTAATAAAGAATTAACAATGATCTACAGGTCTGAGTATACACCTATTTCCTTCAATTATCGATAATTTTTTTCTTTTTTCTTTTTTTGGTACCAGGGATCGAACTCACAATCTCAAGCTTGCCAAGCAGACACTTGTGCCACTGAACTAAACCCCGGGCCCTCAGTAACTAATTTTGAGGGCTGGGGATCTAGTTCAGTGGCACAGTGCCTGACTGGCAAGTGAGAATTCATGAGTTCAATTCCCTATACCAGAAAAGAAAAGGAAAGGAAAGAACATCTAACTTTCCAAATATTAGAAACTTCATTATTATTATTAGTGTCATTTCTCCCTCTGTAACATGAGAAAGTATTTAACTGATACCATTTTGAACGTCAATACAAAACTAACATTACAAATCTGGGTTTCCAGGAGATCTCTGAGTAAATGTTATCGAAGATGAGTAACAGAAGTTTATATCACAGGAAGGTGGATTAAAAGAATGCACAAGAAATCACAGATTCTGATAGCGATTTTAGTCACTTCAAAAATAGTGACCATGAAACCATGAAAGCCTATGATCATCTCAACAGATAAGCTGACTGCCTTTTTAAAAAAGCCAGCACCCTTTTTATGAAACTATGCAACAAGCTGGAAACAGAGAGGGACACCTCTTAATAAGGAGCATCTATGAAACCCACAGCTGACATCTCATCCAGGGCTGAGACAGTCATGGCTCTGCCTAAGATATGACATCAGCCAAGGGTGCTTGTGCTTGAGGTTCTATTTAACACTGTACTGAGGCCCACAGCAGGGCAATGGGGCAAGAAAATCAATGAAAGGCATCTAGACTGAAAGGGAAGATCTCTATTGGCTGAAGACATGATTTTGTGTGCATAAAATCTCAAGGAAGGCATTTTTAAACAATCAGAATAAACTATGCAGTAAGACTTCAGGATACAAAAGCAATATAAAAATATTTCTAGGCACTTGCAATAAACATTAATAAAATTTTTAAAATTCTAGTTACAGTAACATCAAAAAGGATTTTTAATGAAAGATGCAAAACTGGAAGGTAAGAGACAGCAGGGAGAAGGAGGAAAAGGGAAGTAAAAAGATCAAGTTGTGATGTGTGTGTGTCAATTTCCTATTTTGAATATATTTACCATGTACTACATACATATACTAATAAAATGTATTTTACAAAGAAAATAGTAAACATTGAAAGAAATTAAAGATTATCTAACTAAATAAGGAAACATCCTGTTTGGAAATTGGAAGACTTACTATTGTTAAGGTGGAAACATTTTCCCAACTTACACAGATTCAATACAGTCTCTTATCACAAGCCCAGCTTACTTCTTTGTAGAATTGATAGGGTGATTCTAAAATTCACACATAATTACAAGGGACTCAAAAGCCTAATCAGTGGCACTTGCCACCTGCCTGGCAAGTGCAAGGCCATGGGTTCGATCCCCAATATAAAAAAAAAAAAGTCTAATAACCTATTAAAACAAGAATAAAGCATAGGATTTATATTTCCTGATTGCAAATCTTAATATAAAACAACAATAATCAAGACAGGGTGGAACTGGCATAAGAACAGACATACAGATCAATGGAACAAAACTGAAAGTCCAGAAATCAACTCATGAGTCTAAGGTCAAATGATTTTTACAAAGGTGTCAACACCACTGAACAGGAAAAATTATCTTTTCAACAAATAGTTCTGGGACAACTGACTGAATATCTACATGAAGTTGAGTCTCTGACTTACACTACACCTAAAAATTCGATTTAAAAAACGGATCATAAATTAACTTGTAAAAATCTGAAAACTATAAACTCAGAAGAAAATGTTGAAGATAATCTATATGATCTTGGGCTAATCAGTATCATCTTAAAAGACACCAAAAACATATACAACAACAGAAAAATAAAGTAGCTTATGAAAATTAAGCTTGTTTGCTTCAGTGGATATCATCAATAAAGTAAAAGACAACTCCTAAAATATGTGAAAAAACATGTAAATCACTATTATCTGATAAAGAATTTATATCTAGAATATATAAGGAAGACTTACAACTCAACGATCAAAAGTCAAATAATCCAGTAAAAAATGGACAAAGAATCTCCAAAGAAAATAGTGTAAACTGCCACAAACATACAGGAAGATGCAGAGTATTAATAGCTATCAGGGAAATGCAAATTAAAATCACAGTGATATACTTCACACCTGCAAAGATGCCAATAAAATAAATCCAAGTAACAAGTTTTGGCAAGAAAATGGAGCAACTAGAATTCTCATACACTATATATGGAACTACAAAATGGTACAATTCACAGTTTAACAAAAAGTTCAATTTAGAGTTCAGGTATGATAGCCCAATTCTACTCCTAGACATGTGCCTGAGAAAGATGAAAACACACACTCACACAAAGTACACACAAATATTCACAGTAGCCCAAAATGAAGATAACCCCAAATGAACAGACAAATAAAATACGATGTATGTATACAATGGAATAGTATTCGGCCATTTAAAACATATGCTGATACAGATTGATAAAAACACTTTCAAGATGTAAAAGAAGCTAGTCATCAAAGGTCACATAATACGTCATTCTATTTATATAAAGTATCCAGAATAGGGAAAAACGGAGATGGGCGTAGAGCCATTAGTTGCATAAGACATGTGGTGGTGGTGGTGGTGGTGTGGTAAAGCAGGTGAGAAGAAATGTCTGTTAATGAATGCTCAATTTCTTTTTGGAGTAATCAAGATGTTCTAAAATTAATCATGACAATAGTTGTATAACTCTGAATATACTAAAAACCACAGAATTACGTACTTTAAAAAGGTGAATTACATGGTATGTGAATTATATCACAATCACTGAAGGTGGTATTTTGAAAGTGACTAATGGCATATTTTTAAAAAGAAACTATAGTCACCACAATTACTAATGAATATTTACCAAGCAAAAACCCATACAGAAAGTCTTTTTATTTAAAAAAAAAAAAAAAAAAAAAAACTTACTAGTTTACCCAAAACAGGATAAAACTGCCTTAAAAGTAACTATGAATTCTTGGCTCAAGTGAAGTGCAAAGAACCTGGTTTTGAAGTACTCTCTTTATGGAGCAATAAAGCCAGTCTTCCTAAAATAAATTCCTACAAGAAAAACTGGAACAGTTCCCCAGTGTTTAATGAAGAAATGGGGGCTTTGAAAGGCATTATTACCTTCCACTTTTACCTAAATTATCTATCTGAGGACTGGCTGGTGCATAATTTTGGGGCAAAAACTATGGAATACAGAAGAAAAATATTTTTTTCTCCTTCAATCTTATATATCGGTCTTAATCCCTGGATATATAAGGAAAAGCAACACAAATTCTGAGGTAAACAATTTCTCCCCCTTTTACTTGTTGGGAAGAAAAGGGGAGAAGAAATGGAATTAGCAAAAATAAATTTGATTACTTCTTCCCTTTAAAATTTTTCAGTTTTTGTTTTCATTATTTTTTAAAATTTACATCAGATCAAACATTTCCAGACTATTCTATAGAATCTTACCCAGAAAAACTCACACCAATGAAGATAAGAATTCCAGTTTTCCTGATATTTTAATATCAGGAAATATTCTTTACTAGATATTAATATTCTTTACTAGAATAAGAAGTGCTGTTTAAAGTAGTTTTGATGATCAAAGCCACTGATAAAATATGTTTTCTTCAATTATTAATTTCTAGTTAATCATACTATTTCCATAATACTGCTTTAAAACTAATTTAAATCAGTTTATTCAATAATAAACTATTTTCCTACTGTCTCATTATAAAAGCGTACAGTAACAAAGCTTAAGAGAGCACACATTTCCTTTAAATTGTTTAAAAATTTGAATTAATGCAAACCTTTGTGAAATGATCAACAGAGTAACAAGATATTTAAAACACTAAAAATGCATAGTATACCAATGAATGTAAAGAAGGGAAAAACAAGCTGGAATAGAATATCTGAGTAGCTGATCACAAACACACCAATGAGACAGCACACTTACCTGGCTTTGGTACTGAGTTGGTCACTGACTGGGGAACTTTCTGGTTAATTAACTCAACACAATGTCCAGGGAAGAGTCCCACCTAAAGAGGGCAACAAACAGAGGATTTCAAACCAGCACAAAGACCAGTATGTGAACACTGCCAACTCAGTTCCAGTAATGTACTCCACAGATCCTCCCAACTGATTCTGTTATTCCAAGATTGTCAATAGAAGATGATGCCAATTACACAAACAAACAACAAGACAATCTGTTGCTATGAGTATATAGAGTTCTGTGGGGAGTTCTAACCAAAAATCTAAGTCTGCCTTTTTAGTTTTAGTGTTTAATTTCTCAAATGTCTTTTACTCCAATTAAAACATTTAGCGTGACAACAAGCTTAGGCACGCACTTGCTAGTTATTTTTACTGCTTAATAATTCACTTTGCTGATGTCTCAATCTAGTTACGTAGCCATCTCTGTTCTACTGTTTAGTGTATTTCTTTAATTTTTTAAAAGTCAACACTACACCAAAAATCCAATTTTTCTGAATTTTCTCTTTACTTTCCTACAGGTTTTATGAAACAAAACATAATTAAAATAAATTTCTGAAATACTCTTTTAAAATGCTGGTGATCCCTGCTGCATAAGAGCAGCAGGGCATGGGAAAAGCAACAGCAATACAGAAGACCATGGCCAATCTCAGCAGTGCTAACAGCCTTTGACTATGAAGAACATATCACATTGACCTCACAGCCAGGATGGCTTCAGGTTGAATCCTAACAAGCTCTATGTGGAAAACACTGGAGCTTCAGATCATCCAGAGATACTGTGTGGCCAACAAAATAAATACAGAGATAAACAACAACAACAAAAAAGTAAAAAGGAAATCTTTACCAATATTTATAGGTATTTCCTTAGATAGGGCATAATTGGGCTGCCATGCAGCAGATGTTAAAAGCTGAAACATGAAAACTCCATCACGCTGTATCTCCCTCTGTTGACACACTCTGGGGAAGAATGAGATGTTTTCCAAGAGCATGACTCATCAAGAACTTCTGAGCTATATAATTCCCATCTGTGTGGGATTATTTTCATATATTCATTTGCTGCTTTCTTATTTCAATTTCTGGATCAATATTCTATGATACTTCTTAACATTATGAAGATGCAACCAGTAATTATGAGCTGAAAGGGGATTACTGAGAAAATATAAGTTTTGCTTGAAAGATTTTTATTTGAGATTCGTAACACTCTATCTGCACTGCCTTCTAAAAAGATGCCTCGCATGTATGTTTCACTGGTGAAATTCTGTAACATATTCGACTTGACTTCCTTTTTCACTAAACAGGTAGAATTCTTCCAAGACTAGTTGGAACCAGGAAATACTGAACTTGAAAGCTTCTCATTTCCTCTTGAACAAGTCCAATCAAAGGGCATGAAGTACACTGGTTAACAGTGTAGCCTTGAAAGGGAGAGGCCTAGGTCCAGTGCTACCTCTGCCTCTTAACAGATGGGCAGTATAACTTAGCATCTGTAGAATTCAGTTTCTCTGTCTAAAAATGATGATAATAGCTATATTTATTAGGTTTAATAGAAATTAAGTGGATTTACATACATATTCAGTAAGCACATCCTAAATATTACCTGTTACTACTCCCATATGTTACATAACAGAACAGCTAGAGGGTCTAGCACCCCTGCCAAATGGCTAGGACACATAACACTTAACATTTTTTTGGTGTGTATGCACTTAAGTTTTCTCACTCTCAAATATTGTATTTCCATTAAATCTTAATTCATTTTAACTTATAAGCACTTGAGAAATGCCACAGAGACAAGTTCAGGCTTTAAACTTGGCTCATCTGTTTCCTATCTGGAGCAAACTGGTTAGTTTCCTAAATTTGAAGTTTAGGTAGGATTATACTACATACCTATCAAGAATTGATGTGAAAGCACCTCTCCTAGCTTCTAAATTCAAATATCTTTGAGCAAGTAAAAACCAGTTTTCCATTACCTGCTCACAAAGACTGAGTAAAGCTTAATGAACTTCAGGGAACTAAGTCATGTAAGTTAATTTTCACCTCTTAAATTTGTCCCAGTGTTTTAGTATTAGATGTTGGTGAGACCTGCTGTGTACTATGAGATCTACAGTGGACACATCTAATGCCAACTCTAATCCCCGCCCTCTTGCTTCCCTTTCTCATGTAGTATAATAGTGACTTCAGTATAATAGAAAGTATAATAGAAGTATAATAGAAACTTCACGGTGGGACAGAAGATATAGCATCACAAAATAAACTTCTGGGCACAATAAACTACTGCCTTTGTAACATGGCATGCTTCAAGAGATCCGTCATGAGATCCTGATCAAACCCTAAAAGTAGAATGTTTGTATGAAAGAAGAAACTGCTACCAAGAAAAAAGCTAAATAAGCCCTCCAGCTTCACTTATTCTTAGTCAACTAAAGTCTCTAATTTTGGAGGCCACACAGCTCTGCTGTAGATAACATCTCTGATGTGAGGGTTATAGTAACGGTTTCTCAGGTTACTTCCCTGGGACTTAACGGCTTGCAAAGTCTGATGGAGACTAAAATGGGACAAAACGCTTGGCATCACAGCGCACCCGTCCCCTTCGCTGTCTTAACCTTTGAGTTACATTTTACTCATCTCTGCATGTAGACATGCAGGTCATTTAAGAAACCTTTCTCCAAGAATATGACACAGGGCTAACTTAGCCTATGCCTGAGGGAGCTGGTATATGTTTATTGTACTCTATTCTTGTGTTTTCTCAATAGTTCAAGCACTGAATATCCTATAGCTGTCTCGCAAGCTTGTTTAAAATGATGATACCAGCTGCAAGAATAATTCAGTTTCTGGACAAGGCTGACCACCAAGTACAAGAGACTGGGAAGATTTGCACAGGATAATGTCTCCAGATACTTAAAAACATAACAGCCTCTATGACTGAAAGGATTTTGCCCTAGATAGGAAATTACAGCAGTGGGAGGAGGGACTAAGGGACATTTACCTTGAGGTCATTCTCCCCGCCCCTAGGCAATTTACCTGTGGCGTGAAATGAGTTCCAATTGGCTGCTCTCACATCAGAAATGCCCCCTTTAGGCAGCACTCCAGGCCAAAGCTATATGTATGCCTCCACACCACATGTCTGGCAGAGAAAGCCAGACCCCCAGTGGTCATGGGATTCTCTCCGTGCTCTTAAAATAAAGGCCACTTTTACTTTATATTCTCTCCCTCTAACTGTGCCAAAAATTCTAACAACGACAAGTTAGTAGCAATGGGAACAAAAAAGAATCACTGCTCAGGAAGCAAGTCTAACCTAACTATAGCGTCACTGAAGCAACCAACTGAAACCAAAAACACAAAACAACTACTAAAAGTAATTTAAATATAACAACAATGTATTTATCATTGGCTTCTTAAAAATACTTGCTCTAATGGTTCTTTGGTTTAATTTTTTTTTTAGTTTTTTTTTTTTTTTTTTTAAGACTAGTCAAGTGCAGTAGTGAGAAGGGGGGAAAGAGTAGAACAAGGAGTTCAATCTGTACTGACTGTGAACAATCAATTGAGATAACTCACTACCTTCGGACCAGCCTCTTTGGTTTAATTTATGGCTAGTGAAACTTTAAGTCTATCTGCAAAGGAAAATATTTTTATGAAGCTTAGTAAAGAACGGCTCTCTCCCACAGACATACATCATGGGTTGGTTAGCCTTGGAGAATTAGACTCTAATACTTCATTTTCTGACTACAACTTCCTGTCTTCCCAAGTCTCTAGTGTTTATATTCCATGACAACTGAAGCTAAAACTCAAGACATCCTATCCTTTTCACACTTGTATTTCCCCTCTAGGCTACCTACCCTTCTTTTCCACCTTTCCTTCTTGCTAGTCAGTGTGGACATTGCAGTTGACCACTAGCACTTTAAAGCAGTATCTTTGGTTTCCTTATAATATTAATCTGACAAACCAATCTAGCAACATCTTAGCCCCTGAACTAAACCAATATACTTCCATATGTACACGCCATGTGTTTGCGGGGTAGGTGGAATAAAACCCCATCACTGAGAAATCTTCATGGCCCACTGTATAGAAATGCCTATCAACTTCCTTATTCCTCAAACATCTAAGAACCCACTGTTTTTCAGACTGCCCTGTCTGACACCTACTACCTTTACACCAGCACAACCAGGTAAGTCAATGTAGTCAATTAGCAGTGGCAACAAATAGAAAACTATGTGCTTTCTTCTTTTTGCAGGGTTTGGGGCAAAGAAACAGCAGTTGCTATACATAGAAAAAAGCGAAAACTGAAAGTAAATTTCTCAATTCCTTACTTAACAATTTCTGACTCCATTTACTGGTATTTGAGTATTTCTTGAAGTTCTCTGAAACATTCCCACTGAAGTCTCCCCAGTCTCTATTTCCCAAAAAATGCCACATTGCTTCTGGCTTCTTTGTCTTTACAGTGGATATACCAGTTTGAAAATCAGAAACACCACCAGGGATCAGGATTAAGTATGGTATTTAAAGATATGAAAGGGAATGGAGCCTAGGACAAGAGTCTAAATGAGAAGGCGGTCCAATCCAAACCTCAGAAATTTCACATGGGAAATCACTCAGGCAAAAAAGACGCAGCAACAAGAACTTTAAATGCTTGTGTCAAGTCAGTCAAGAGAAATGTCAGGAAAAGGGAAATCAGAAATCGAGGATGACTGCTTATGTAAGAGGAATAAGGAAGCATCTATTTTTGCCTTAACCCAAAGACCTCTAGTGATGCAAGAAAAGAAACAGGAAATGTTTAGGAATACACATGATAAGTGAATGCTGAAGGAAACTACAATAAGCTCCTTAAAATAGGAAGGACTGTGAGATGAAGACAGTGAAGACTTAGAGCTCTTCTGGACACTCTGTTTGCTTAAAGGACACAAAAGCTTACAAAGGATCTTTTCATCTCCCCAGACTACTGCTTTCCATCTAAAGACAAAAGGTAAAATCTGACTTAAAAGCTTTGTCAGTTCACACAGTTTGGCAGAAGAATCTGAAAGCATGCTTTTCTCCTTTAGCTCATTTATCACAGATTCTTCTT